AGTTATTTGCCATATTGAATTACATTAAAATCAACAACGTCAAAAATAACTTCTTTGGAAGTATTCTTATATTACATATGTTGCTGGAAAGCAGCCTGTAATTTTAATTTAAAAAGTTCCATTATGAATTAACATGTTGACTGCCACGTGCATTTTACGTGGTTTGCCCATGAAGTTGGTGGTTTGCCTTGAAATTTTTATTATGCGGTATATATTATGTTGAAATATTATCTACAGAAGAAAATGTGAGTTATATAATCGTGCTTAATGCATTTTTCACGGTGGGGGTCACCGCTCTGTAGACCATTATTGCAATTTATAATTAAAATTTTTACAATTTATTATTCTTCAAACCATTATAGTAACAATGGTACTATTTAAAAATTTATCAGTATCGATATTTACTCTAATTACGTATTTTATTATTGCTCGCGTCGCCGGTCACTGGTGGCACCTACGGTGCTTGTAGCCAAGTCGCAATCAATGTGTTAACCAAAAGCAGTTTCTTTATATAAATAAATCTATAGAGATAAGACTTTTATTCATGGGTATCATATTAATATGCATTTATGCTACAAATTATTGAACAAATATTGCAAGCCTGTATTCTGAAAAATATATGAGTTTAAAATGGAAAATAACTTTGCAATAATAATAATAATGCAAACAAAGTTCAACTGCTTACAAAAGGAAAACAACTTTTTTTTCCATGTTTTAAAGTAATCTCAAAACTGTTTTTGCAATAAATTGTTGATATATTGCTCTTATAATTTCTAACATTTAACCTTCACTTATTAATAGTTTCAAAAACTGCATTTTAATGGATTTGAAGCACAATAGCTGGGGATATGAAAGACAACCCATGTTTGGATAATTTAAACAAAATGCCTTAAATATCATAATGACCACATACAAAAATACCGTGTGTAGAAAGTACAGAGTGTCCATGTGTCCAAATCGATTTTGCTTTGAGTTAATTTTATAATAAACACTTAATTTTGACATTCATTGCTTTTTCTGCTTTTAAAAATTTTAGAAAAGAAGGAAATTATTTCATCCCATAATAAAAATCCTCACATCATTCCCTTTTGAAACTTTTACCTTTTTTATTACTTGACATCAATTTTAAAACTATTAATTTTCATTATACACACATTCATTCTTGTTGTTAATCAATATCTGTAATACTCAAAAATTCAGATTTTCTCAACTAAGAATTATACAACACAGCTGCAAAGAACACCTAACATACTTCATCACAAGTATTATTTACATTATTAAAAATGGCCCCACTATTAATTTCATGTTACAATGTGGCTCATTGATGGAATTATTCTAATATAAATTATGATAACTTATATGGGAAATCAGTATATATATATATATATGTCTGAGAATTTCTTACTAGTCTTAAAGATTTGCAAGATGATGATGATAATATTTACAAAAATTGCAAATATTAATATTTGAAATTATTATGCATACACAGAGAAGTACTATGTAAAAAGAAATGTAAAACATATAAAATTATAGAAAGTAATAATGTATAATAGCACAATTCATATATAAAATGTTATGTAAGTACCATTTTATTTATTGGTAAGATACTTGCTTGTTAGACATAAAACACCTAACAGACATGTTACTTCATACCAATATATGGTGCATGTTTTTGAGATTATTATTATTATTTATTGAATTTTAAAACACCAATTTAAATCACTTGTACCTGAAATTCAAAACATTCCACATTTGGAAGAAAGCCTATATTAAAAAAAGTTTTAGTGTTAATTTTTGTAAAAAAATTATATTTCTCCCTTTTTTTGGATGAAAAATTTTTAAAAAAAGTACATGAAAACAGAAAAAAATTACTTTTAGAGCATAAAAATTACATTTATAAAGGTTACACGCCTGTATTTCAATGCAAAATAAAATCAGAACCTGTAAAAATAACATACGTTCTATATATTAATTATGATTTGCATACATGCAGCCGATATTATCATCGGCTGCATGTATGCAAATCATTACGATATTATCATCTTAAAGAAAAAAATAGAATCATCTTAGAGATCTTAATCTAAATCTTATCATCTTAAAGAAAGAGAGTGAAAAAGTTATAAAACCTTTTCTAATCTGCAGATGCATATCCATCATAGAAAAAGTGCAATTTTTAACATCCCTTATTTAATATTACTAAATAAATTATTTATTTTCACTGCCAATAAGTTTTTACACCACATGAATTACATATTTAAATAGTATAAAGTACACAAAATTTACAGGCATTCATAAAACCATTCAACACATTCTATGTTTACAAATATTCATAGTTAAGTAGTCTTGAAGGTCTAGGCAATTAATAATTTTAATGAATATCCAAATATATTCTTCCCTAAAAGTAAATAATATAAAACTAATTATAAAGACTTTTAATCAAATTCCAGGGCAATTTTTATAGTGAACAACCTTTATCTAATTGTAAATGTTACTTTTTTTTTAAAACTGATGTATTTTAAAAACAAAACAAATGGCTTGTGATACCATATCTCTGATACACTGTGATTTTCATCAAAGGAGACTAATTATAAGGAATTTTTTTTTAATATGAACAAAACAAGTAGAATAATACATAATTTGCTCTGATCATTCTCAAAAGAGGTTCAATGGTGTTCCTTCTAATGCTTTTAAACATTAGTTAAAAATTTAATTAGAAAGTTAGAAAAGTAGAAGAAGTGTTAGTAGAGTAGCCTAGTAGCATTAATCCATTAATGCTATGCTGTTAAATCTTCCAAAATATGGCAAGAAGTTTTGAAAAGATACAACAATGCCTAATGAGACAAATTTATGGCTGCATTACAAATGATGGTTAACATTTTGAACAGCTACTGTAGTTATTAAAAATTAATTAATAAAAATGAAAATATTCCAATTTACTGTTATTTTTTTTTAATCACTAATGTTGTTTTCTTTTCAAAGATGGTTTAAAGTAATCATGGTTAAATTAAGAAACATTCAGCAATATTATATTTATTAACAATAAATAAACAGAAGTGATGTCACACAACTTTCTACTTTACAACCTTCATTATGAACCTGAATTTTAAAAATCTATTAATGATTTTTGTATGATAATGATGTCATCTACTACTTCTCAAATGTTGTAACACTGTTTACAATGCAGATTGTATATGAAAGTAATTTTTAAAACAAATCTAAACACAAAATTATTGATGATTTAGTTCTGTAACATAATGAGGAAATTAATTAGCATTTTTATCAAAAACGTTAAAATTAAATTAAACTAACTAATAATTTATTTGAGCTTCATTATCTGTTTAAATCTTCAGTAAAAGAACATGTTATTACCAAATGATTTTATGAGACAATCCGAGAATTCAACTTATGGAAACATATATTTAAAAAAACTTTTTCTCCTTTAACAGTTTATGAAATTTTGTACATAGCTTTATAAACAGATGTATATGTTACAAGCAGTTTTTTTTAATTCAGTATTTTATAAAATATATATATAACTATGCATACTAAAATATGAAGGTATGATCTAGGCACATTCAGGAATTTTACTTTGGAAGCTCCGGAATAAAAATTTATATCTACATCTAGAAAAACCTATACATCTCTAAAACTGCTACATGAAAATTTAAGAAAAAACTTATTACACCTAATAATCATGAAAGGGGTTAATTTCTAGCATCAGTCAATACTATCTAACTAAAAATAAACTGCAATTTATATGTTTTAAATAAGAAAGATCATCAATTTTTGAAGTTAACAAACAGTTGCATCCTACCTTAAATTCCCTCCTATAATCATAAATTTCACACAAAAGAAAATTTTAAAGTAATTTTCATATTTTAAATTTGGATCTTTGATAGGGCTATGTACAATTTGAATACAGCTTTCAAACAGCTTTTCAAAATTTTGCAGAATTTTAACCTTTTTTTCTTGAAACTTTTTCTGTTTCAATAGTAGCTGTTGCCCTTTTTAATTTCACTATATATAAAATATGTTAATTATTATCAGTATTTATTGCACCTATAACTAGCACGTGATTTTATATTGTGTGCATGTGGGACTGAGGAAGATTTAGGAAGCTGAATTTTTTTACCAAGTTTCAAATAAAATATTCATTTTAGATTTTTTACATCATCAAAAAACTAGTCAACAAATAAAAGAATAATTCAACAATTCCTAATTAAGAAAAATGATGGAAATAAGTATATAAAAGTTATGAAAAAATATGATGATTTTTGCTTTTTTATTTATTTATTTTTTATTCCCAGTTTACCTAAAGCCATGCCAATTTACCAAAAAACATGTTTTCAATATTTTTTCTTCTTTAAAATATATATGTTATCTTGACTGAAGGCTAATAAAGTCTGAACTTTCATGAATTTAATGAACCATCTTTCATGGTAACCATAAAGATGATGTAAATATAAAAATTCACTATTTTAACTAACCAAGAAATTAAAATTTTAGGTTTTTAAATGATTAAAAGTCTGGATTTAGCCTTCATATATGTTGTTTTCTACAATTATTTCATTAAGTTATAAGTCATTTAAATAATAATCACAATTATTAGTCATCACATTATAAATTACTGTAAATCACTCAGTGTACAAATTAAATCATTAAGTTATAACAAATCTATATTTGTATGGTATGTCTTTATTTTATGAAAAAATGTGTTTTCATAATATAAAAGCATTTTGTAGAATTAAATTATATGCATCTTTGACAAACAAGCATACAATCTATAAATATAGATAGATAGGAAAGCTTAACAACGCTGAAAATAATAGATTAGAAAATTGTCCCTTTCCCTATTTTTTTAACCTAAAAACTGAGACCGATGAAATATTTTATATTTATACAGAGTTTGTATTTATACTTAGCATATATTCATTTAAAAATGCTCTTTTTATAAACATTTCATGATTTACTTTTCTGGATATGGGAAAAAAAAATAAAAGAAGGAATAAAGCCCTTTTTTATTCATAGAAATGTTATTAAAATATAATGGAATAAAAATATGAATAAGTACTTTTTATGATACAATTAACCGATACATACAATGATACTGATACGCTGATAGTCAATATTACACTGTTATTGGTTTCTTTTAAATACTTTACAATATTATGAAAATAAATATAGGTACTAAAAACATATAATAATAACTATAACAGAATCTAAAACTATACTTGCATTCTGAAAACAAAAGCTGATATGTAATTTTTTTTTAAAAATTTCTGTATCAGTTCTACCTGTACTTTTTGAAAAAAGCACCAATATGACTAATAGAAAAAGAAAAAATACTAAGACTAACAGTCAACTTATAAAAAAATTCTAAACAACAGAAAAATATGACAAGATATGGTGTAAAAATACATTTTTCAAAAACAATGTCTTTAAGTTCCTTCACTTAGTGCTAACAATGCATTGATGGTTTGGTCTTTATTTCCTCTGTTGCTATCCATCACAGTTTGTACAACTTCTTCTTCAATATTCGGAAACATTTCAATCACCTTCAATAAGAAAAAGAGAAATATGTTACACATTAGATAGATGTATAACGTCAGCTAATATGACTATTAAAATAATATATAATTAGGTTGTATCTACATTATATAAAGATGTTTGAAAAATAGTACATAATTAAATAAAAAAGGGGATTTTTAGACAAAATTTTGGCTGCATAACACCTTTTTAATAAAAGTATACAAAAAATTTTTATATGCATTCCATGAATTCCATGAACAAAAAATTGTTTCAAAAGAATAAATTGAATATAAATACAAATTTAATTAATTCTTTGTGCCATTGCTGCAAGGAATGAAATTTAAATTTAAACTAACATGTAAATACGTAAACAAGTAAATTTAAAATAATTAAAAAATGTGCAAACATATAAAAGATTCAATTTTCGAACTAATCTACAATATCATTTAAATTCATATAGCATAATTAAATCAAGTGCAAAATCAAACCATGAAAATAAATTCACTAATTTAGAAATTAAAATTAATCTAAAAAAATTCTTAAAAATGCATAAGTGAATGATTGTTGAGCAGGCAGGAGACAGACTTATCAAGGGGAAGTTACCTCCAAACCTAACTCTTCAATCATTCAATTTGTGTTTCATCATTCACTCAGGCAAGGGTAAAAGTCAAAACCAAAAGTAAATACATAGTGAAGAATGTTCAAAAAGAAATACCAATAAAGTGGTACCTTGAGAAATTAGCAATTAAAAATTGAAGGTAATTACCAAGTAAAAGGAAAATTACTAATAAAGAAGTATTTTGAGAAATAAGCAATATAAAGTCTAGTATAAAATTAAATTTTTAAAAAAAATTAAATTTTCCAGAAAAATTTAGAAACCGATGCATTTTAGAAACCTTTGTATACAGAAACCTAGAAACGAATATGCATATAAATCAAAAAGAAACTAAAAAGGTACAAGACATAATTTATAAAAACCAATATGAAACTAAAAAGAACTAATTCATAATTTATAAAAAACAAATATATACTTAAAAAAAATAATAATTACATATCTAGAAAATACATAAATACTACATAAAAAATACTTAAAAAATTACTTAAAAGCAAGTAAATAGTAAGTTTTAATTCTAACTTACCTACCATATTAGCATTGGGGTCTGCAATAGTATTTCCTAAGTGATGTAAATGTGTTCTACAAATAATATAGATGGCGCTAATGTAAGTAAAGTTGAGTGCCAAGCTGCTACCTTTGTTTTATTAATAATTTTTTTAACTTTAATATTAAAAATTTAAATAATATAAAACTAGAAAAAATCAAAGAAAAAAAGTATGTAATTCAAGTTTTAATTTTAACTGTCCAACTATTTATGATAGGGAGTTTAGTAGCTGAGCCAATCAAAAGATGTAAGTTTGCTCTGCAATTATCATAAAAATAGTACTTTAATTGAAGTAAAGTAGAGTTAAGTGGTAATTGTGAATTAATGTAAACTTGATTGTAAAGTTAAATGTGTGTTCTGTTGTAAAATTGTGTAAATAATGCAAATAATGTTAAGTGAAAAAATTATTTTTTTTGTGAAAATTGCAAATTAAAAATTAATTAATAATTAAATTGAAAAGTTTTAAAATTTTAAATAAGTTTTAAAGTAAAATTTAAAATGTCTTAAAAAATTCCTCAAATTTTTAATAAGTAAAATTTAAATTTCAAATGAATTCCTTAAAAAAAATTTATTTGTTAAAATTAAAGAAAGAAAATGTAAATTAAAAAAGAAATTCCAGAAATTTCCCAGAAATTTAATTCCTTAAAAATGTTTATTAAAAGCTAAATTTAAAGAAAGAAAATATTGAAAGTTTTAATAAACTTGATTCCAACTGGTAAATCAAAATGTTACTAAATACTGGCTAAAATAAGGAAAATTAGAAGAAGATTAAAATCTTCACTCAATTCGGGCTATAATTGAGACTTTTGAAAATAGTTGGCCCTTTATTAGTAAAAGGAAAGAATCCAGTATTGATTAAATAAATATACATATTTACATATTTATTTACAATAAAAATATGCAAGATAATTCCTTTACTCTTAAATATCCTCCATTACCCTCCAGCTAAGGTTTAAGGTAATGTTATACTATAAAGAGCTAAAAAATTATAAAGTTAATGCCTGTCTTTTTAATATACAAATTAATAAATTTTGGTGGTACTTGGTTATCAACTTGAACATTAATTAGCTTTATTATTTCTTCCTTTAAATCTTCTATTTCAGTACATATATTTTTTATTCTGATACACTCATGTCCATAAATTAAGGATAATACAAAATCAGGCAAAGGAAGAGTTAGAAGCAAAACAAATTTGACTTATTAAGCTTATTTATTAAAAAAAAGGTAAAGAGCAAAAAAAGATGCTATATGTTTGATATTATTAAAAAAATTAGCGATTTTTTCTCCCTGGAGCAAATTACAAAAGAAAAACCTGTTTACAAAAAACCAATATTACATAGTGCGATTGTTAATACACTGTATGTCTCCCAGACGATGCAATACAGTCCGTACAACGCCTAGGCATGCTGAGTATCAAATTATCGACCTGATCTTGGGGAATATTACACCACTCGAAAAGCAATGCTCTCCGAAGTTCCGGTAGACATGTAGGAGGAGGTTGACGGGCTGCAACTCGTCGGCCAAGCATGTCCCACACGTACTCTACTGGATTTAAGTCCGGTGAGAATGCTGGCCAGTCTATACAGGTGATATCCTCCAATTAAAGGCATTCGCTTACGATGTTTGCACGGTGAGAACGGGCGTTGTCATCCATAAACACAAATTGTGCACCCATGGCACCCCTAAAACAAACATACATGTTCCAGAATGACGTCCCCATAGATTTGGCTTGTCATGGTTCCAATTTGAACGTGCAGGTCAGTTTTGGAACCCAGAATAATTCCACCCCAAGCGAGCACTCCTGCACCACCATAATGGTGTCGTTCAGTGATGTTTTCTTGGTGGTAACGGGTACCTGGAGCTCTCCATATGAAAGTCCGGCGAGAATCAGACTGCAAGCTAAACCTGGACTCGTCGGAAAACATCACACAAGCCCACTGTTGCGGTGTCCACAATGCATGCTCTCTGCTCCAGGCTAACCGTAGGCGACAGTGAGTTGCAGCAAGTGGAACGTATGACAGGTCTACGAGCATATAGACCAATCTGCCCTAAGCGTCTGTACACGATCTGCCTTGAAATTGTTGTACCAGTGGCTGAAGAAAGCTGACGAGACAGATCTGAGGCTGTGCTCTGCCTGTTTCTTTTGGCAGTAACTGCCAAATACCGGTCCTCATTCGGCGTTGTAACTCTGGGGTGACCTGTGCTGTAACGTCTACTCACATTACCATCATCTTGGAATTGTTGCCAAAGCCTGGAGATGACACTCTGGGCAATTCCAAGTTTGTTTGATACTTCCAGTTGGGTATGCCCACATTCCAGACGGCCGATAATTCTACCACGTAAAAAATAATCCAAATGCGTCCTTTGTGTCATAACTATTCGGTTATTGCACTGAAATGCTTATAAAGCGCCTGCGAATAATTTTACTTCTTTGTCTGTATTCCTTATATATCACTCTCTTACACTCTCATCATTGTTACGTACCATCGGTGTCATCTCGTTACTTCCTGAAATTTGCATATGATTCTTGAAGATGTGTGTAGTGATTTTACAGGTGATATATTTATTTTAGAGTTCGATTTCTGCATGACTCCGAATTATCCTTAATTTATGGACATGAGTGTATTTGGCTAAGAAATGTGTTTTCTATTACTTTCTAGAGATATTAGAGTTCCAATTAATTAACTTAATAGTAGGAAAATGGAAATTCCTTCTTTCCTGTTTAAACTTAGTTGGAGTTTATATTCATAAGTAAAAAGAAATAGGTTACATATTTGTGTGGAACTGTTTGCTCTCATAGGAATTCCTCTCACTTGCTGAAAAATCTTATTATTGAATTTAATGTAGTTATTAAATAATCCACAATTCAGATAAGTATTCCATCTTTCAATAGAAAGGATGTCAAGTATGTCAGGAAAAAGTTGTGGGAGTTGCATTAAACTAGTAAAAATTTCTTATAATGGTAGAGAAGTATAAAGGTTTTCAAAGTCATAGCAGTTAATATTCTTGATTTCTAAACTTTTAAATCTGCTGAGAACTGGAGCATTATTATAAATAATTCAACTATAGTTGTGTTGTTTGTTAACGAGTTGTTGGATTAAATTACAGAATTTTTTTAAGTTTAATTGCAAATATGTAATCTATATTCTTTTTATAATTATTTGTACCATTAGCAATAAATCTAAATTTGAAAGGTGATTTATGAAATTTTGGGAGAGCATATAGATTTGCTAATCTATTGTAGTTAGATGGTAGTGAAATTTGCAGTTTCTTATGAAATGCTTTTAGCTTTTTTTTGCAATAAAATTTTCTTGTATATTGGCGAGTTTGTAAGTAATGGCATTATTCAGTTCACTATTAATTAATGAGACATAAAAAAATTCGAAAATTAAATCTTTTATATGTTTGCACATTTTTTTAATTATTTTCACTTTAAATTTGCTTTTTTACGTATTTACATGTTAGTTTAAATCAATTAAAAATGTTATTCATACCCACAATTGTCAAACTGGTGAATTTTTATCTTCACAATTAAAATTACCCAAGATATCATTATACATTTTGGCAATTGCATAAAAATATTATGAAAAATAGCTATGCAAGAAAACTCTTAGAATGGAAATTTCTAAATGACCTCTTTTATGTCAAATAAATATTGCATTCAAGTATATGACAGTTTTTTGTTAAAGTCCAAACAGTTCTGAAATAAAAAATGGAATGAGAAAGAAAATTTTATAACATATGTTATAAATATATATATATATATATTTCTAGAGGAAAAAAATTAGATACCTACCATATCATATCTTCTTCCACCTCCCTAATGATCCTCAGACTCATTCATGTTTGTAAACAATGCACATAATTCACTGCATATTATGTATGGTCTACAAGGAACACTGCATGAATGATAGTGCTATGTATAAATTATGCTAGAAATTTAAAGAAGGATAAACAGTTGTTCATGATGTGAAAACTCAGGATAAAGTCTATGGATATTAAGGACCTCCCTTATTACATGGTAATATAGTTGAACAACTGTGGCAAACTTCTACTGAAAAGCTGTACAACATTTTATGTTTACTGGGATACTGGTAAGAATCTAATTATATATAATTTTTCCCCCTTCGTTCTCATTTTTATTTCTAATTTCTTTGCAATTTAATTTAAAAAGTAGCCCTTTTATAGATATAGTTTCCCAATTATGGTCTATAGAAATGTTAAAATTCAAAGTGATTATTACCACTGATATTTTTCAGCATTTGTTTTCATCAAGAAAAGATATATATATATATATAATTTTGATGACTTTTCTGGGGTGCTTCTGATATTTAAAATAATAATAATAATGTTTTAGTATGATAAGAAGCAATTTTTTTTATTGCAATGTTTTTTTGATGAGGATTCATGTAAACATTTCTTGTTTTGAGTAAGATGTTATGCAACCAAAACTGTCATGGTCTGAAAGCCTACATTATTTCATAAATACAGTGGATGGACAAAAATATGGAAACACCTTGTGAAATGCATGTTTGAAAAGAAAGATTGATTTTAATGAAATATGTAGGTGGCGCTGGCGTTTTTGACAACTGAAGCCACCTATACAACTTCGTAAATGTGCTAAACAGTTCAGTTGTTGTCGAAGTACTGTTATGTGAGGTTGTCATTGCATTATGTCAGAGTTAACAGACTTCGAACGTGGGCAAAATGTTGGAGCACGTATGGTAGGTGCTTCCGTAAGCAAGGTAGCCGAGGTGTTTAGTGCATCAAGAGGTACTGTATCGAAGATTTATTCCGCATATTTGAAAAGCAGAAAAACATCATCTGCTAAATCACAGCGCGGATGAAAGTGTGTCCTGAGTGATCGTGACAGACGATCATTAAGGGCAATTGTGACGAAAAATAAGAAGACCACAGCTGCAAAAGTTACTGCTGAAAGGTATGTTGTGTTACTGAACCCTGTGAGTACCAAAACAATTAGAAGGGAGCTTCATAAACAGGGAATTGCCGGCCGTGCTGCAATTGAGAAGCCACTCATCAGTGATGCTAATGCCCGTAACAGGAAAAGGTGGTGTTTAAGTCATAAAGCCTGGACTATAGAGCAGTGGAAGCGAGTAATATGGTCTGACGAGTCTTCTTTCACATTGTTTCCCCACTTCTGGCCGAGTTTACGTCTGGAAGAACGCCATCTCAAGCCTATAATACAGACTGCTTGTTGCCAAGAGTGAAACATGGCAGAGGTTCTGTTATGGATTGGGCGGCCATATCGTGGTTCTCTGCTAGCCCCATGATAACTGTGTCAGGGCACATGACTGCCAAGACTTATGTGAACATTTTGGCCGATCAAGTTCATCCCATGGTACAAACTTTGTTCCCCGATGGTGATGGTGTCTTCCAAGACGACAAAGCCCTGTTCACACAGCTCACATTGTCCAGGACTGGTTTTCTGAGCACGAGGATGAGTTGTCCCATCTCCCCTGGCCTGAATCACCAGACCTGAATATTATCGAACCTTTGTTATTTGAACATTGAACCTTGAACATTGGAACATAACCTTTGAACATTGGAACGGAAAGTGCGTTCTCGTTATCCACCGCCAACATTGTTATCTGATCTTGCCACCGTTTTGCAGGAAGAATGGTATAATATTCCCTTGGCAAACATACAGGAACTGTATTTATCCATTCCGAGAAGGCTGCAAGCTGTTTTGGATGCCAATGGGTTTCCTACACCATATTAAGCAAAGAAACATGTTTTTTTAAATGTGTTTCCATATTTTTGTCCAACCCCTGTATCTTAAACTGAAACTGTGTACCTCTGTTCAAGAGATGTTTAATTATGTAATTTTCTTTTAATGCATGGCAAAGTTCATTTGAATTTTTAGAATGTTTCACTGCTCCAATTGTTAGAACATAAGGATAATAAATGAGAAATTAAAGTATACTATAATACAGAATTTAGTAATTGAGAAATAAGTACTTGTATAATTATATGGCAGAAAATACATTTTTGATCTGATGAACCTCAAACAATTGTCATAGCAACCAAGAAATACTGATGGAGAAAGCAGAGCACTTTTTATATGGCAAATAAATATGTTTGAATTAAAAGACACAAAATTAACATTGCTAACAAAGGAAACATGATATGAATGTAATATCTGTATACATATATTCATTATATTTCTCTCATCTGGAATGTAAAATTTTACTATTGCTAAAATTTCTGCTAATTTGTATATGTAGGAAAATATTATTTATATTGTGATAGCTACATTTTCTACCTTCAGTTAGAAAAAAAAGTAAACAATTTTTAAAAAATTGCATCAATAAAATAAATTAAGAAATTTTAGAAGTAATTTATAGAAATCTTTCAGATCATATGCAGGATTCTCACTAAAGTTCAATTTTTAAATTCCCTGATTTTCCATAACCAGATGTAGCAATTTCTCAACATACGTGATGATGTAACAACATATGCAATGAATTAGTTATTAAATCAAGTACAATAACTAAATAATTATACATGTACTCCAATATAATTCCATAACTATGAAAATATATCACCTTTGCTATTGTAAAGCAAATGAAACAACAAATTTTGACAAAACTGTCCCTTTTTCAAAGGAAATTTATAAACAATATACAATTAATATTACTCCTTTGGTGTTTTAAACTGAGGAAAACTTTAATAAAACTGAGAAGCTTGGAATTTTAATTAAAACTGAATTAAAAATTGTTTAATTAATGTAGTTATTTATTATAAAATACTATCATGCAATGTAATAATGTCTAATTTTTATTTCTGCAGAGCACTTCCACTTTTAAAAAGGACAATAGAACAGCTATATTTCTTTAAAAAAAAAATAAAAAAAAAGAATGAATGAAAAATAGCTCGTAGCATGTGAAGAAGAGGTTAATAAAACTGTATAAGGCATGAAATGGAAAAATATTTTCTGCAAGAAAAACAGATTACAGGAGCTCTCTATTTGCTTTCTTTTTTAAGAGGGAGAATTTGTTTATTGTGAACTATTTGCTTGAAAGCTTTGATCTGGATTTTTTTATCATTATTTTCTTAACTTTTTTTCAAAAAATTCCAAATTTCCCTGAAAATTTGTTAAGTAGTTTATATTTTTCCTGACTAGTTTTCATTTCCTTGACTTTCCAGATGAGTGAAAAACCTGTCCAGTTAAATTAGAATTAATGAGTATTTATATCAGTACAATATAGCAATTTGTACTGCACAGCTATAAAAATGTTTGAGCTCAATTGCAAATATTATAATATACTTAATCAATAAATATTTCAGTTTGTTAACGGATTACAGATTAATCTGATTTAACAGCAAACTAAATTGAAAATCTGAAAATTGTGAATTTACAAAAAGGAAACAAACAACTGCATCCAACAGACTGCAATACAGATCAGGAGATTTATATCTAGAAATCTGCTGTCAAACAGCTTCATCATATGAACCCATGTGAAAATCTTTACATTAATTATGCAATAAAAACCATCATATAATGGATAATCGAAGCAAAACATAACAAGGTAGAAAACTTTATTTCTGTTATTAAAAAATAAGAATCTTAACATATGTATTGTTTGTACCTTGCACTGTGCAAAAATGACAGACTTAGAGCCATCAGATTTTGAACACATTTAGTTCTTTACCATAACTAATTTGTTTTATATTCTGCACGAATTTAATTAATTGTTGATTAATAAATTTGTCAATTTAAAAACTATGTGTTGCCACTCAGTAAAGCATAAGATATTTCTGTTTCAAATTTAATTAAAAAACTCAACAAAAAAATGTATTGCCACTTGAAAAAATATAAGGTATTTATGTTTTAATTCAATTAACAAACTCAGTGATTTGAAAAAATGTGTTGCTACTGCCCAATATGAAGTATTTTTATCTTTCATGCACCAATGTGCTGCCATTTGGCAAAGTGTAAGATATTTTCCTTTTAAATTTAATCTGTCTGTTACTAATTAGCAAACTACCGACTTCAAAGCAATAAATGTAATTCTTCATTTATATTAATAGTTTAATATCATTAGCTGGATCCATGAAATTCCACTGATTAAAATTATTACTTATTTTTCTTCTTTTCTACAGTAACTATTTCAAGTAGCTAGCCACACCGGTAGCTAGTAGCTTTTAAAGATAAGAGAAAGAAAACCAATGTCTAGGGATACGTTACTTGTTTTAAATCTTCTTTTGAGATATGCTCAGGAACCTCTTGCACTGCAGCTGGAACTGGATTGGAAACAGCAATAACTGATGACTGACCTTTTGGTGTTATACACTGAGGATATGCTACAAACATAAAAGTTAGTATTCAATTAAAATAAAATATTCTATAGAAATAAAAGAAAATAAATAATAAAGTCAATGCAATAATACTCTAAGAAATACTATATATACCATGTATGCAAATCTTACAAAACTGAGAGTAGCTTTTCATGTTTACATAAAATTAGACATGATGGATGACTTTTAAAAAGTAATTTATATTTAATGAACAAACTAGTTATATTTTTGGACACCAGAAGATATTATAAGACTTCTTATAGAAGAGAATGCAAATACATATGCAACACTTAGTCATTATACTGTTGTAAATGACTGAAGCACTATTGATTAAACTGTATTCTTAATAATTTGATTCCCCAAGTACAACATTATGACATTTTTATTCAAAACATTTTCATTAAAATGGAAAACTTGCAGTTTTTATGAAATTTATACAGAAAACAAAACTTCATTCTGACAGCATGCATGAATTTAAGAGTTTCACGTTCACAAATTATATATAAGAAAACTTGGGGAAAAATTGGAGGGCATTAATACTAACTTTTCTGACATATGTTCACATAATTCAATCCTTTAAAAACCAATACTTATGTGTGAAATTATCAGCTTTTCTGAAAAAGGACTTTCAGTAAACAGAAAGAATAAGATGCCCCTCCTATAATCAATATGTACAGATTAGCTGGAGAACAATGCGTATCTTCCCAAACCTTTTACAGAGTTGCTAACTCTCTCCCTGGCCATACTCCCACCTACTCGATTCGCAAAATATTTCTCTTATTTTTAAAATTTATCATGATTTTTATGTAGCTGGGCTTATTACTTCATTATTTGCACCCCAAATCCTCTCAATACAAACAAACAAAAATTACAGGGAGTGACATGGTGGACAAGTGAACTTCGATAACAATGTCAAAAATGCAGAGCCTTAAGTGTCTTAAAATTCCAGTCTTGATGAGACTACTAAAATAAATCTTTTGTCACAATTTAGGAAAGAGCGAGCTAGTTATAAAAAACATATCCTGGCCACTAAGGTCTCCAGCTGGAGAACCTTCTGCACCACTAACACCAACCCGTGCTCAAAAATATATCAGCCAGCATAGCAGCTAGCACTGCCAGTACTCTTCTCCAAGCCCTTTTCTTCAAAGTGTCCCAGAAATGGATACGCCTACTCAATGCAGCATCAAAGACAAGGCCATCTATTTTTCTTCTTCAGTTATGATTTAAGTCACTTAGAACCCATGTCTGACAAGACAATTTACCCATGGTTCAGAGAAACAGCCATTCTAACTGTCACGCACAAAATTATATGACCTTAGCTGTAAATTAAATATCACGTGACCCAATACCAGAATTTTTGGAGTATAAAGTCTCCACTGGTATGAAGCGCAAAATGAAATGATATTATGTAAAAATTTGAAAAATGAGCGTCTTCGCATAATTTAAAAGCCAGTTGAATTTGTTCTACTCTTAGACCCCATGTCTGATAGACACCAGCGCCCCAAAGACACCACCGGATACTGCCTTTACTTCCAAAGAGATTTCACAAATTTTCCAAATATCTCCCACGGAAAAAGTCCCAGGCCCTAATGGACTTGATTATACAATAATCAAAGTGGCAAACCATGTACAGTCAAAAGTCGTTAATCTGAACTCGTCAGGATTTCGGCGATTCCGGATTATCGATTTTTCTGGATTATAGATCATCACTTTAAATCTGGTAAGATAACATGCAGAAATTATAAAATTAAAAATATGAAACTGTAATTTATGAAATAAAGAACAATTATGATCTAAAGGGTATCAAAATTTACAAAAAAAAAAAAAAAAAAAAAAAAAAAAAAAAAAAAAAAAAAAAAAGCTTAATATTTATTTGTTTACTTTATTAAACATTTCTTTCAATGTAACTTGTTTAAGTTGCTTCGTTTTATGTGATAATACTTTCTCTTTAATTCTATAAACAGACATAATTTCTTCTTCAGTTACAAAGTTCCGCTGTTCAAGTCCTATAATTGCTGTGTTGTGAGAATACGGACTAATTTGTCAATCGAAATTTTTTCGTTTTCAATAACCTCTGTATCACTTTCTTCACTATCAGAAGCGAATTATAATGACAAGGAATTTGATTTAAATCATATCAAAGACGGAGTGCATCGAGATGAAATACTACATTTAGTAAGGAATTATAAGCCAAATAAGATAAAAACATCTGCCCTGAAGATAAGGATATTGCTGACAGATCAACTTCCAATTTATTGCGCGCCGCGGCATCCCTTCCCCCCACCCCACTGCAGAGCAGCATGAAATTGATAAACAGATTTCGGAATGGTAAGAGAAAGGATATGCCTTTATCCATTTTGTACAGCAAATCCACTTTTTGTTTAATGGACTTCGAAACGTACTTTCGCTTTGTAGATCCGTTACATATTAGTAAATATATATCGGAAATTCTATTTGACATAATCGAAAGTTCAAGCTTACTTTTATAAAACTGCTCTAACAGTCTGCAAAATATAATAAGCCGGATCCAATTCGAAGATTAAGGAACAACGCAATCTGCAACATTAACTGAATTAGATAATTTTAGCTTAGCTTATACCGTCCGTTATAAATTAAATGTGCATGCGTAAAAGTATTAGGGGCATGTGCACACGCAGATTCGCAGCCATAAAGGCCTTACGCGCATGCATCAACGCGACGCATGCGCAGAAAGTTTGTAGCTTTGAGGTCCGGATTATAGATCATTCCGGGTTATGGGTGTCCAAATTAACGACTTTTGACTGTATTTGTATGTAATTGTATTTTTTGTTCCAGTATGATCCAGCAAAGATTATGACTATGATGCTGGCTATATAGGAAATGCAGATCCAAACTCCTGCACTTTTTTGACAATCAATCAAACAATCATCTGCATTAATAAAAATGACAGAAGCTGAAAAGGTGCACTGTATAATAATATTAGCAGATAATAAAAAAAATGTCCCATTTTTTCAATTTTTAAATGAAAGACACTGTCAAAACAAAAACTATTTGTATCTATTTGTTAAGGTACAAGAGTAAGGCTGGATGTCACCTAACTTAATGAAAGAGAAGCTCAAAATTGTTTGGACCTGTCAGCTAGGAGCTCTTTTACACAAGAATTCAAGAACTCACTGCCAGCACTAGCTCACACACACACACAAACAAACAAAAACAAAAAAAAGGGGGGGAGAGAGGTTAGGTTAGGTTATTTAATTACGGCAAAGCCTCGAGTGCTATCTGCCCAAGAGGAGGGAAGCCTTCGTGGAGGACTTTCTAAGGGAAACTGGCTCGTATACACATTACACATGAGGAAAACCACGAAAACACTCATGCAGACAGCCCGTTCGCGGGATTCAAACCTCGGACCGAACTACCAGTGTTCAGCGACTTTACCGCTCGGCCGCTGGTGGGCAGAGAGAGAGAAAGAAAGAAAGAAAGAAGAGAAGTCCTAATTGATTTCTTCAATTCAACTGGCTTGATGGGGTGGACAACCTTTCCCCTCGTTTATCTAAACATTCAGTGGTTTTTTATCATATGATCTACAGGTTTTAACATGTCTGGCAGTAAACCTTTTGCAATTACATTATAAATATAAGCACAAATGTATATATATATTTTTCCTACTACCAGAGTCCTAACTATTTTTATATAATAGTAGACATTAATCATTAGACATTAGACAGAGAAGATAATAGTAGGTTAAGAAAGACTCACAAGTGAATTACTATAAAATATAAGGAAATAATTATTTTAATATTATTTATCAAAATTTTGTCTTTACATTGAACAATATAATTCTTTATACTTTACAACTGTTTTAAGTACCTATAGCCTTTTATAGACTGTTTTCCAGTATGAATAATTCCTGCTTTAATAGCTTATAAATCTGCCAATGATATTTTTATATACACTTACAGTTAAATGTTAAGCTCCTTCCATGATATGTAACTATTGTGTTTATAATTAGTCATTATATGATATATAAAATCATGTGATTAATAACTGTATTACTTGATAATAATAATATTCACATGAATTTATGAATGAACAAATCATTCATATTCAAATACATTTAGAAATATTCTACACAGTCAATCAGAAGAGAATACAAGTTTCTTAAAAATATATGCATGAATAAATACTCATGTGTATTTAAAATTTTTCATTTCTGGACATGTGCAAATCTTTATTTTTCATGCATTCATTGTATTTGTCCAGTAAGGCAATTTACTATTATTTAACATATATCAGAGTTTTTATGTAAGAAATCTGTATAAATTGAATAAAAATTACACAAATTACTAATATGATATTAATAAAAAATATAGATTTAATTCTTTGTTCTTAAATTCTTGACTTAAGCTCCACCAGTGAAAAGTGACTAAAGACTGCTGAATACTGGTAGTTAGTCATAGGTTCGAACCCAGGTGAATAGGCTAGCTGCATGGCTGAGTTTCATTATTTTTCTATATGCAATGCGAATATGAATCAGTTTCCCTAAGTCCTTTAAGAAGGCTGCTCTCTGGCAGATAGCCCTTATGTGCTTTACCATATTTGCTGGCATCATGGATGCAGTCTATTGTTAATGCTATTCCCATCAGTTCTAAATATTTTAACCATTTAGACTACTTTTCAAAAACACTGGTGAATACAATGCTCTCTCCAAAGGCTTTGGTAGATGACCTGTTTTATTTTCGAAGCAACCATCTCTCCTCCCTGTTTTAATATTAATATCTATTAATTTCATATTAGGTCCCCCCTTAGCTAAAAGATAAACTCTGTATTCCCCAAATGAAGGGTTTTACTTATTTCAATACATACCTGTTAAAAAATACCTCCTTTTGTTAGATGCCTGCTATTTATTTCTGTATATATAAATTTCAATAATTACCTGCTAAAAGTGCACATTATTCTATAAAATCTGAGAATGTGGTATTTTATGTAAAACATTTAGCACACTTCCACTTCATCCTTTTCATTGAAAACATCATAATACATCTCAGATATTCCAAATTATTGGAAAATATAAACAAATTTCATGACATTAAATATCATTTCAATATTGACATTTATTTAAGTGCTAGGTAACTATGCAATATCTGGAACATTTTGTAAAGCTTCATAAATTTGTTCTTGAATACTATTAACACTATGATTTTCTTTTACTGATAATGCAAATCACATCTTAAAAGCCATTTTCATTATGTAAGTTTATTTCAAGAATATTTATAAAATGCATTTCGTACAATCTTTTCTCTATTAATTTTGCAAATTAATTAAATTCAGTAAACAATTCATACAGCAAATGTAAAAATTTGCATTTGCAAATTAATTGTTCATTCCATTCTGTTTTCATTTTCATTTTTTTAATTTTTATTTACCTTTTGTTCAATTTTCTTTTAGTTTTTTCCTATACTTTTCAGATAAAACTTAAGACATATAAAATAATTATTCATTTATTTCACACACAGGTACAAAGATTTTTACATCTGTGCATCATCCAACTTTTAAGAAGCTGTCAAAGTAACAAACTGGATGTAAACAAAAGTGCTACATCCCCTTAGATTGTCAAAGCTCAACAGCAAAGCATCAAATGCGGAGAAAAAAGGTATCTCCTTTTATTCCTACCTCCATGGATTTTACAGCTTCTGTAGGCATCTTATGAAAGATATTTAAAAAAATTCAACCGAACAAACACCATCCTATCATCATTTTATGATAACTTACACCATTTCTGTAATGACTGAATGTATGAGTAAATAAACCATTCAGAGACTATTTTTGAAAGTTGTATAATGAGTGGATATTAGCAGAATCACACACTTTTACTAGAATCTGAAAAATTACAGAGATCTTCCTTTGAATTGATCTGCTCTTAGATTTTGGGTTGTGAGACCGAATTCATGAAGGAATAATAGCAAAGAGGTACAAGAAAACAGGGATATCTAATGCTCTTGATAGTTCAGAAGATAATTGTACATAGGAGGACAAACTGAATGGTGATAAAAACGATTATGAATTGCGAGCTGTAGCAGATGACACATACATCAGATCCAACAGCACTGAATTTTAGGCATAGGGAACAGCAGTGGATAACAATAAGAGAGAGTGAGATTCAAGAAACAAATGATGATATCATATTAGATATTGTAATGTTAAAATTACAATAGGAATGTAGTTTTCTTTTAAATAAATAATATAATGACAGTTACCAGTAGTTTATTTGTGAATACTCTGTTATCTTCTTATCATAATCTATACTCTGTTATCTTCTTATCATAATGTGTCTTCGGAAATTAAATTATTTGGGCAAGTTTGCACCTTGATTTTTGTAAAATAAAATCAGTAAAAAAAAGGGTAAAAACACTTAAGTATGGTATACTAACCTATTACACACAGTTTGATAATATAAATATAAAAATATATTAACCTGCAGCATCTCGAGCAAAAACAGAACCATATGGCATTACTGCAACTATAGGCTGTGAGTGATATACAAGAGTTCCAGATGGTACTGGCTAAAACAAATAAATATACATCAAACAACTACATTTGAAAATATACAACCTCTTAGAAATAACACATTTAATATGTGGTATTATAAAATATCATAATAAAATCTTAAAAATTATTAAGGAATAACGACTGAATAGCAGTAAAATAAGCTTAACATTAATACACTGCATTAATTCTAAATGAATGATTCTTTTCCGTGAAGATTCTCAAAACCAGAACAAACTATCAATAGTGATATAAAAGTAGTTACCATGACCCCTTCAGCAGCTAATGATTTTGCACAATAAAATCATAAACAAATGGTACTTGCAAATTCACACAACCACCTTAGTACAATTTGATGATTTTTTACAGAAAAATATATGAAAAAAATAAAAGTTAATTATTGAATGCAAATTGGTGACTTTTTTTTTTTTTTTTTAATGATTGCCAAAGTATCAATAGTTGTATGTCAGCAAACATTATTAACATGTCAAAAGAAAACTCACTTTAACAATTCAAAATAGAAATTTTAATCAGTAAGTAGGAACCATGTAATACATTAAAAAATAGTAAAACACATTTCTCACAAAACCATTCAATAATTTTTGAACTGTTCTTCTCCCCATGTGCAAAGTGATCTATTTTTATCTAAATACATATTACAGAACTGCATAAATTTGATACTGCATACTGGTTATCTGCCAAAACATCTCATCACTGCATATAAAACATTCAACTTTATTTGCAAATAAACACATTTCCATGCACCATTGTAATAGACATTTCCCCCTTTCATCCAAATATGTGGTTTTTTAAATAATAAGTAGCATTCAAAAATAGAAAATATGTAACTGAGAGAATTATCCCACAATTCTACTGATTTGGGTAATCAGAACATATTCAAAACAATTATTCGTGGATTGTGATCGCTTTACTATTGTTCTCTTTAGAATACATAGCAAACTACTGTATTTCCCACAAGCACATACTTTAAAATTGAGTTTGAGGTGAAAATATGATTTGTCTATATAAATACGTTACTGCTTGGAATAAAACAAGAAAATGCATATGAAAATGGTGATGTTGCTTGACTGAAGGATTGTTATAAGCATGGTTGCCTAAAAATGATTATATTCAATTGGTTGCCAGAGCTTGGTATGTTCTGAAAATTTGGCGATTTCTATTAAGGTAGGTAGAATAATACATAAGTACCAAAAAATGCATTCAAGTAGAAATAGTATTGTAGTAATGTTGTGGTTTTGATGTAGTGGTGACCATATTTAACAGAGTTTTATTTCTGTACCTAAACAGATAATACAATAAAGTTTCCAGATATAATAACTATACATATATAGATATAATAAAATAACCAGATATAACATCTTCCAGATAATAAAACTAACCCACCACTAAACTTTTGCAACTAACCAAACTTGGGCAAACTGCTAAAGGTAGGTCAGTTGATCAGTCAAAAAATGTGATCCTTACTTTTAAGAAAAATGATCCCTATCAACTTTGTAAGAGAAAATAAAAAGGGCAGAAGGTTTTTGGAAAGGGGGAAAAAAATCAAAGAGGGAGTGTAAAATAAATTTTCAAGAGAAAATTGATACACGTTTAAATATTCTGAAACCATTATATGAGAAAAAACTCTTATCATGAAAAAATATAAAGAAACACAAATGAAATTAATTTAAAAATAATTACAGTAGCATTTTTGTTTTTCCCAAAGAGTATTTTGGAAACTGTGCTATATAGCATTTATTATTTTGACTACTTTTCAAAAATATTCTTAAGTCACCAAAATGGAAAGTATTCATTTTAAAATATGGCAAGAGAAAATAAAAATGTTTTATTTTAATCTTGTTTCTTTAATATAACTTTAATATATTACCATCTTTATGATATTTATTAATGTTATCTTGTATGTAAGAAAAATCGTCAAAATTTTGCAAATTTTCCAAATAAAAAATCTTTTATACAAACTGATCTTGAAATCGCCAAAATGTTGATAAGTTGCCAAATTTAGTGCTGCATAATTCAAAAGAATTCAAACATTAACCCATCAAATACATATTTATCATTGCATGACCAAAAACTATTCCTCCAAAATATTAATTCACACTCAGAATCACAGTCTTCATTAAAAAAAGGCGGGGGGACATGTCAGATGAGTAAAATTAAGGACCTTTTACTGGTTTGGGGGAAAATTAAAGACTTTTAAGGACCAAAAATCATTTCCAAAAAAACCTAAAATCTTTTAAGCACTTTTAAGGACAGTATGAACTCTGTAAATAATAATAACTCATTATGACAGAAGAGAAAATTTGCTGATTGAAGCACAAAATTCTATAATATTAATTAAATTTTGCCACAGTTTATGTTAAACTGTGTTAAGATGTAAACATTTTACAAAATGAGAGACAGGGGAAGAACCTAATTAAATTCAACATACATATATCAAGTATTATTAAGAATAATATGATTATTTTTAAGGGGGATTGAAAAATATCTTCAAATTAATCATTCTTAAAAAGTACTGCAATCCTTCAACCATGAAAGCTGTAAATTATATTTTATAATTTAAAAAATAAAATATAATCATTAGTGAAAAAATTAAAACTGCAGTTAACAAAATACTATCTTGAATGTAAAAATTTGTACATAAAGTTATAAACATAATCCATCGCATAAAAACAAACATTTCCTCTTCCATTATGAAGCTTATCTTAATAGCAAGGCATAAATTTTTACATTTGGAATACCAAAAAGACAACTGCAGCACCATCTAGCAATCGCGACATTTTTAGACCTGTTTTTCTATTATCCAGTTTCACCTCCTTCTTTATACTCCATGGTTCTTACAAAAATTAGTGATTGCATCCTGTTTTGAGGCACATTTCAAGGACATGATGAATGAGAGGATTCATTAAATCTGGGAGTTTTCAAGAGATCTTATCAACTTCCTAGCAGAAATAGATTTGTCTTTTAAAGACCATTTCACTACTGCCAATGTTTTGTTAAAAGAAATTCAAAATGATTTGTTATACTAAAGCAAGATTTCTTTCAGTAACAGATGAAACTACTGATATCTCATTTACTACCCAACTGGTTGTCATTTATCGATATGTTTTAAGTAATGAACAGGTACTTGTGAGATTCTATTATTAAAATTCTTAAAATTCATGAATCCACCTGGGGAAGATGCAAAATCTACACCTGAATCTATCCAAGGAAGTTTGGAAAAAGTAGTAGACAAACCTGAGAAATTAATATTACAGAGTTATGGTGGTAACAGCATGATGAATGGTCACCATGCTGGTGTTGAAGCTTTTATTCAAGGTATACAAGAATACACAATTTGCAGACTGCTATGCAACTCAGCTCAGTTTGATTGTTGGGAAGGCAACCAGTCAGAATCAGCAAGTTCACTGAAGTATTTTTTTCACCTGAGTGAAATTAACTTTTTTCAGTTACTCTCAGCAGATTAGATGGAATTTTAGAGTCAAACCATCAGTGCAGTGTACAAATATAGGGAACAGTTAATTAAACACATTAGAAAAGAGTAATAATCTTGATTATAATACGGTGTTTCTTCATGTTACTCTCAATACCCATGATTTTATCTTTTTCTCCTATTACTTTGAACCTAATAGAAATATCGACTTGGATTTGCATAAAATTAATGTAGCATTAGCTTCAAAAAATTGTAATACATTGATTTGGGCTATGGATGCTAACAGTATATCTGAAATTTGGCATAGTCCAGTTTCAGATTCTTGAGGGGTTAAACTTTGTGAATTTTTAAGTATGAATAATTTGTTCGTTCTAAACGAAGACTGTGGTCCTACTTTCTGTAGTACTCAAGGTTTAAGCTATATTGACATTACAGCTGTTGGATCTGATCTTCTTGTAGATATTTTGTGTTGGTGTCAACCAGATTATGAATCCCCTTCTGATCATTGTACGATTGAATTTGAACTATCTGTAGCTTATAATAACACTCTCTATGACAGAAAAAACAGCAAGATTGTCTTCAGTGTAAAGAAAGCTAACTAAGATTGTCTTCAGTGTAAAGAAAGCTAACTGGAATATTTTTTACAATACATGTAAGCAGTCGATTGATGAGCTGTCGCAGTTTATTGAGTGCTGTACGGATAAGCATACATTAAACTCTCAACTAGAAAATTTTGTTCTCGATTCTCTATAACACATCCAAGGCTTCCATGCCTCTAAAAAAGTCAAGAGTTCATAAGGTACCTTGGTGGACTACTGAAATCGAATGTATGAGAAAGCAGGTTAATGCTGCTAAACGTAGGTTTCAACGAAATCGTAACCCTACTCACTCTTAGAGAGTTATATAAACAAAATTATCTTCACTTAAGACATAGTTACAGCTTAAAGCTCCAGGATGCAAAAGTCTTGGAGAGAATTCTTAATGAGTATAAATGAAAGGAATGTTTGAAAAAAATATATACGAATGGTATAAAGAAAAATTTTATGAAAGGAATTGAAGTCAGTGAAATTTATCTCCCATCTAGTAATTGTACAAAGTCGCTTGAAGAAACTGCTAATGAGATTCTTAACAGAAGCTTTAGCACGGCTAATTCGTTTCATAGAATGATTAGGGCTGAAGCTTTGTTAAATTATGTTGCTAATCCAGATCCTCCATTTACTATGTCAGAAATTAATAGTGTTATAGAAAACCTTAAATGCAATAAAGCTCCTGGTCTTGATACTATTTCAAATGAAATTTTGAAGCAAGTCATAGAATGTTTCCAAATTTATTCTCCAAAATCTTCAATACTTGTCTGAGGCTTGGTTCATTTCCTCGTTGCTGGAAAACAGCAAATGTCGTTTTAATCCCTAAGAATAGTGGTCCTCGAATCCCACATTTAGCTAACTTGAGATGCATTAGTCTTCTTCCCAGTTTAGGAAAATGCCTAGAAAAGCTGTTTGTTAATAGAATTACCTGGTTCTCATAATAAAAAAACTGCTAAACAAAGCACAGTTTGGTTTTACC